TATGACCTGGAGCTGGCCAAGCAGCGATGCACAGTGAGGAGGCAACCATAGGGACATGTTTTGTCCAGAAGTGGACCTGGGGGATGGATACCCTATTTCAGCCTGGTGTCTCAGCCAAGTTTCCAAGCGGTGGAGGGCACAGAGTACCACCCAGCAACGTCGGAGGAGTAGCTCGCAGGGGCTTCAGCTTCTCAGGAAACCTGCAGACCCCTAGTGTGGTCAATCTGCATCCGTCCTCACTGCTGTGCTCCATCCTGGAGGAGGCTGCCTCTCCTGGTGGGCTTTGGAAGTGCGTGGGGATGGAGGGGTGAAAGTCTAAACAGCTCCTCGGTTTGCTTCCTTCTCCAGGATTATATCTTCTACCTGGAGCCAGACAAGTTGGAGTCGGGCAAGGGGAAGTGTTCCTATGACCCCAAAGTAGACACCGTCTCTGCATTAATAAGTGAGTGCTGTAGCTCCCCAGGGCGGCGCTGCCTGCATTGAGCAGAGGGAACATGCAGGCAAGATGGGACAACTGCTCCCACCAGCTTCCTGTGTTGCCCAAATATCCCTAAGGAGTCAGGCTCCTGCCCCTACCACCCTCACCCACTCCAGCTGCGGATGGCTGGGTGCCTGGGTTGCCCAGTCCTAGGGCAGCTGGCCCAGTGGAGATGGGGGTCCTGGTTACAGACCAGTGCCAACTGCCCAAGCTCTCTCGGATGACCACAAGCATTGGCTCTTGGTTTCCTGGTGGCTACTGGCCACAGATGGGGCTGCATGGAGCCTGGGACAGTGGGAGAGGTGGGTGGATGGGCCTAGGTGGGGATTCCTAGCTGATCTCTGCCCTCTGCAGATGAAGAGCTCTATGCTGGCGTCTACATCGACTTCATGGGCACAGACGCAGCCATCTTCCGCACCATGGGCAAACAGACAGCCATGAGGACAGACCAGTACAATTCACGCTGGCTCAATGGTGAGTTTGGGGTGTCATTGACCCAAGTTCCCTGGGGACCTCACAGCTACAGCCCTAGAAATAAGACCTGTAGTGTCGTACTGCGTCCTTCTCCCAGGACAGTGACAGTAGCCAGCATGGGCAAGTGCTGTAGGATGGATGGGTGGATGGATGGTTCATTGACAATTGATAGATGGGTGGACAATGGATGGGTGGATGGATGGGTGGATGATGGATGGATGAGTGGATGGATGGATGGATGGATGGATGGATGGATGGATGGATGGATGGAAATCTAGGCAGAGGGATAGTTGTGTGGGGCAGTGACAGACATGTCAAGGGCTTTGCTGGGTGGTAGGAGCAGGCAGCTGGTGAGAGATGGGGCTGGCTCTGCCGGAGTCCATGCATGGGTTTCTGCAGGGCTGAGATGTCAACCATGTCGCCTGCAGTCGGTGACCCCAAGCGCTCATCCTGCCCCCCTTGGAGCACCCCTGCCTGCAGGGCAGCAGCTGAGTAAACAGAGCAGAGCAGATGGGCTGATCCTGGTGGGCCAGGGAGTCAGCAGGGCGGTAACCCAAAGAGGGGGAGCTGTCAGCGCAGACTGGGCACCGGCTGATGGATGGCCAGGAGAAGCTTCCTGAGAAGCTTCCAGGCTGTGTGGTTCCTCCCTGTGGGGGGAGGACCGGTTTCCACCACTCTGCTTATAGAGCTGCTGGAGCTCTCCACCCTGTGGACCTCAGGGATGCTTCCAGGGACATCAGAGATGCTCTGAGCCCCTTCTGGAGCACTGATGACTACTGGAGGGACCCAGTTCCTCAGCCCGTCTCTGCAGCTCTGGTCCAGATCCGGCTCTCGCCCTGCAACCGCAGCAGTGCCTTTCCAGGAGTGGGGCAATGCCAGAGCAGAGGGAAGCTCAGCATCCTGCTGCGGCAAGGGGCAGGGGGTGCCGCTGGGCTGACGGTGCTGTGCCGTGCCGTTCCAGACCCAGCCTTCGTCCGCGCCCAGCTCATCCCTGACAGCAGCGAGAGGAACGATGACAAGCTCTACTTCTTCTTCCGAGAGAAGTCGGCCGATGCCCCGCTGAGCCCTGGGGTCTATTCCCGCATCGGGCGCATCTGCCTGGTAGGTGGAGTGGCAGGCAGGCAGGGGAGCGGGCAGGGGGGCAGGCAGGGCTGAGCGCAGGGGTCCCTCTGTTGCAGAACGACGACGGGGGCCACTGCTGCCTCGTGAACAAGTGGAGCACCTTCCTGAAGGCCCGGCTCGTCTGCTCCGTGCCGGGACCCGACGGGATCGAAACGCACTTCGATGAGCTCCGTGAGTGGGCGAGGAGGGGGACAGGGGTCTTCTCCACCCCTGTGGGCTTGGGGACACCCTGCAGAGGGCTGGGGATCCCCTTGCTGCCCTCCACCTCTTACTTTTCCGTGGGCAGCTGCTCTCCCCCCTGCCCTGCTGTCCTTGGGTGCAAGGGTGTGCCTGCCCACCTTCCCCATGATGACACCCCCTTCTTTCTGTCCCAAGAGGATGTCTTCATCCAGCAGACTCAGGACTCCAAGAACCCCATTATCTATGCCGTGTTCTCCGCTTCAGGGTGAGTGCTGACCCTCCTGGTACGGAGCAGTGGAGAGGAGGGGGCTGAGCTGGGTGGAAGTCCCAGCGATGCCGTGGTGGCAGGCAGTGACAAGCTGGGGTGTGACAGCAGGTCCTTCCTCCCAGGTCGGTCTTCAAGGGCTCTGCCGTGTGTGTCTACTCCATGGCCGACATCCGCATGGTCTTCAACGGGCCCTTCGCACACAAAGAGGGACCCAACTACCAGTGGATGCCCTACACAGGCAAAATGCCCTACCCCCGGCCGGGTACCGTAAGTACCCTCTAGGCACACGTGGGGAGGTGAGCCGGCACCTGCCAGGCAGCTGGCACCCTTGGACCTGTACCCAGATACCGGGTCAACGAGCACTGGTGATGTTTGTGCTGCAGTGTCCTGGGGGGACCTTCACCCCGTCCATGAAGTCAACCAAGGACTACCCTGACGAAGTGATCAACTTCATGCGCGCGCACCCCCTGATGTACCACGCCGTCTACCCCACCCACCGCCAGCCGCTGGTCGTCCGCACCAACGTCAACTACCGCTTCACCACCGTGGCTGTCGACCAGGTGGATGCGGCAGACGGGCGCTATGAGGTGCTTTTCCTGGGCACAGGTACCCACGCCGCGCACCGCGGGGAACGCAGCATGCTCCGGCGCGGCCCCGGAGGGCATGGGCACCACCAGGGCTGGCCAGACCATGGTGCCCTCCGCCACGCTGGAGCAGGGTGAGGGGCTGAGACCCCCCCCGAGATCCCTGCCCCTCCTCAAGGCTCCAGCCTGGTTCTTCTCCTGCCCCAGTGCCCATCCCACAGACCCCACTATCCAGCCTGGTCCTTCCCTTAGCCCAGTTCCCATCCCCAGGGCTCCACTATCCAGCCTCATCCTTTCCCAACGTCAGTGCCCATCCTACTTGCTTCCCATTGCCCATCCTAAGCCCACCGTCATCCAGCCTTGTGCCTCCCCTGTGCAATTGCCCATCCTAGAGGCACCAGCATCCAACCCTGTCCTTTCCCAGCCCCAGTGCCCATCCTGGGGGCACCATCATCCAGCCTGATGCTTCCCCTGCTCTAACACACATCCCAGAGCCCCCGTGATCCATCCCCTGCCCAGGTGCCTGTCCCTGGCTGCTGTCCCCACCCTGCCCTGGGTGGTGGCAGTCCCTAGCCACAGGCAGTGACCTGAGCCAGTACGCTGCACCCCAGACACGGCCACCTGCTGTGGCAGGAGAGAGATGGGGATGGGCTTTGGGGGATCCTTCCTCCCCCCAGCCCCAGCAGGGACCCTCTTCCCAGGAGGGGAGGATGCAAGTGCCCAGGGGTGGTACTGAGTGCCCAGGGCACCATGGTGTCTTGCAGATCGGGGCACCGTGCAGAAGGTCATCGTGCTGCCCCGGGATGACATGGAGACAGAGGAGCTCATGCTGGAGGAGATTGAGGTGTTCAAGGTAAGGGCTGGTCTGTCTTCCACCCTCTGCCAAGTGTCCTTGACCCAGCCAGCCACCCCTGTGAGACACCAGCCACCCCCTTGGACACCAACCAGCCCCTTGGGACATCAGCAAGCCCCTTGGGACACCGGCCACCCCTTAGCCGTCTCTGGAAGGACCCCAAGCATTGGTCCTTCTGCCTGCTACCCTCTCCCATCTCCCCCTGCCCACCCCTGCCTGCCCCAGCTGCCTGCAGGGGGTCTCAGGTGCCCGCCCCAGGACTGCAGCATCAGGCATCCTCCATCCTTTGCTCCTGCTCCCATCTAGGTGCCGGCACCCATCAAGACGATGACCATCTCCTCCAAGAGGGTGAGTCACTGCACGTGGCAGGGGGCTTGGCAGATCCCATCACGGGCCTGGCCACGGCACTGCCCGACATCACTGCAGCACCAGAGGCGCGTGGGTGGCCCCAGGGCAAGCTGGCTTGGCTGGCCCTGGTGTCTCAGCCAGTCCCAGTCCCAGTAGGCTGCAGCTCATTCTGGGGGGTCCTTCCTTGCAGGGTGGGGACAAGGTAGCGTCTCACCCTGTCCTCTTTGTGCCCTAACAGCAACAGCTGTACGTGTCCTCAGCTGTAGGCGTCACCCACCTGGCCCTGCACCGCTGTGACGTGTACGGGGAAGCCTGTGCTGACTGCTGCCTGGCCCGGGACCCCTACTGCGCCTGGGATGGCAGTGCCTGCACCCGCTACTCTGCCTCCTCCAAGAGGTACAGGGGGGCCAGAGGAGAGCAGCAGGGAGGGACCCCCCAGCCCCAGGCTTCCCTGCTCACCTCCCGCATCCCCACAGGCGAAGCCGGCGGCAGGGCGTCCGGCACGGC